TAGCGGGTTGAGCCACAGGCGCCGAGCCTGGGTAACAATTTTCAAAGCAATGACATGAGCACAAGAGCAGCCAACGGCAGACCACCCGGGGCATGGTGACCTAAAATTCATTGCTCCGTGTGCTGGGAGGCCCAAAAAGGCCACTCCCCAAATATCGTGAACTTGAGGGAGAGTTTCCTCTTTTAGGAGTCAGCGCACTGCTCTGCCTGTCATGCTTTTCTCAGAGAGAAGCCACCAGGAGAGCCCCATGACGTCACCACCAAGTGAGGAAGGCACGAAAGCCCCAGGGTGCCCGGAGTCTGGGCAGAGCATTCAGGAGCACCGGCCACTGCTCTCCACTCTCCCTCTGCACATGTAAATGAAGCTGCCCCAGAGGCTGTTGGGGATACACCCTGTACACACATCCAATCTCCCTCTTCCCATGTCACTGCTCCCCACCCCCACTCAGTGGTGAGAAACCCACCAGGAAAGCAGCGCACACAGGGTCCACCCTTAGCAGCCTGCCTGGGAAAAGCACATCTGTTGAGCTGGTGTGACGATGTCACTGGCCTGTACCAGCTTTGTGCAGGGGTGTAGGGTATAGGTATTTTCCCATCCCCTTAGAACGTGGGTGGGGCAGGCACATAGCGTGAGGCCCCAGGCTTCCGAGTGGCAGGGAAGTGGTCTGCTATTTAAGACAAGGCTCTTTTGCATTAAAGACCACAGACTACTGTGAGCTCTAAGAAATGTGACTGTCATTTTTCTGAGACCCCTCTGCCTGTCCTCTCAGAGCAGGCCCCGCAGGCCCCCAGGCCGCCTCACCGCAACCATGGCCTGGATCTTCAGGCCGGCATCCTTCACCGCCGTGAAGCGCTTGTTGAGGTTGGTCATCCTTCCGTCCAGGTCGAGCAGGGCCTCCTTCTTGCCGTCCTTCCTCTCAAACAATGGGTTGGCTGACCAGTCCTGGAGTGAGAGGAGGGAGAGGAGACAGCTGTTTTGGAGGAAAGGCTTTGGACTCACTCCTTCACCACGTGCCATGTGGCGTGAGCTTCCTCGTCCCTGGGCACTGTTCTTTTTGCCCATGGACCACCTGACAGCATCGTATGGGTCCAGGGCATTGACCAGTGGGTTCCCACTGCCTTTGGCCATGTGGCAGCTCTTCCCGTAGGCTCCACCCAGCCCCGACGGCCACGGACACCAAGGGCCTCCACGCAGCTTGCCCAGTGCCCTGCCGCGCGCTCACCTTCATGGTCTGGGAAATTCCTTCTATATTTTGCTTTGCTTTTTGCATCCTGTTCTGCAAGTTATATAGAATTTCTCGCATCTCTTGAATATACTGGAACACATCTAAAATATAAACGTGAAGGAATCTTACAGAATGAACAATTCAGCAAGAAGAAAGCTTTTCTTGGCTTAACACTCACTCTTACAAGACAGGCCTTGGACAATACTTCTCCTGTTCTAGAATGTGGCTTCCAAAAGAAATCACCAAAGTTTCCCCAAAACAAAATGCCAAGGAACAATGCATATTGTGCCTTTTTGGAAATGGACTTTCTTTTTTTGTGAGACGGTGCCACACTTTGTTGCCCAGGCTAGAGTGCTGTGGCGTCAACCTCACAGCAACCTCAAACTCTTGGTCAAGCGATCCCCTGGCCTCAGCCTCTCAAGTAGCTGGGACTACAGGTGCCCATCACAATGCCTGCTATTTTTAGTAGAAATGGGGTCTCGTTCTTGCTCAGCCTGGTCTTGAACTCCTGAGCTCAAGCAATCCACTTGCCTCGGACTCCCAGAGTGCTAGGCTTACAGGTGTGAGCAACTGTGCCCGGCCTGGAAATGGGACTTTCTTGGGGTTTTTTGTTTGTTTTTTTGAGACAGAGCCTCAAGCTGTCCCCCTGGGTAGAGTGCCGTGGCATCACAGCTCACAGCAACCTCCAATCCTGGGCTCAAGTGAGTCTCCTGCCTCTGCCTCCCAAGTAGCTGGGACCACAGGCACCCGCCACAATGCCCGGCTATTTTTTGGTTGCAGCTGTCATTGTTTTGGCGGGCCTGGGCTGGATTCGAACCCGCTACCTTAGGTGTATGTGGCTGGTGCCTTAGCCACTCGAGCCACAGGTGCTGAGCCAAAATGGGACTTTCTTATCTCCAAATGTGTGGATGCGTCACTGCACTCAGGAGCCCCCTACTGCCAATGTGCAAGGCCCCTCTCTGGGAGCCCCAGCCCCTCCAACCACAGGCTGGTCATTGTGGACACTTCAGAGTCTTCCCAAAGCTGTCAGGGCCTGGGGTGACTGGAGGGGAGGTGTGTTCTCAGGCAGAAGTGGGAGGAAAGAAGCATGGCCTCTGTGCAGAAAAGTCTGGGAGGACCCTGCTGTCAGGGAAGCGGGCAGTGACACTTGGTCCCAGCTTTTAGTTGAGACAGTGGAGGCAGGACATGACAGAAGGGAACTAAACAGGTGCCAAAGGGCAAGTAGGAAGGTCCTGGAGTAAAGAAGGGCAGAGGCAGGGATCACCAGGGGGAGGCGGGGACAGGAAGTTGGGGGTCCCTCTGCCTGTGCAGTGGCAGCAGGAAGGGAGGAGGGGGACCTGTCCTCGCACCTCTTTCTAGTCTTCCAGCACCAGCCCCAAGCCGGTGGATGTGGTCTGTCCTGCTCACCTGCTGTGCGCTTGGCAAGACAACAAAGGCCGGGCCTCCAGCAAGCCCTGTCTGGACACTCTGGAACCCCTGGCAGTTCCCAAGGAGCCTCTGCCTCATCCCATTTGCAAATGACACAAACGGGCTCTTTTGGGGAGGGTCAGGCAGGCAGGGCTAAGTATCCCTTGGCTTTAAACACAACCCTACTGTGGGCCAAGCAGCTTTGGGGAGCTAGGGGGGCAGCAGAGGCGGCTCCAGTGGGTCTGAGGACAGACACTGGGCAGGCTGGACCCCCAGTTTAACCAGGGAGATGAGTGTGGCCTGGATACCTTCACCGTTCCAGAATAATGTCGTTTCAGCGCTCTGCAACTTGACATCAATTTCCTCCAGTTCTAACTTTATGAGTGGAAACTCCACTTCTTTCACGGTGGTCTTTATCTGCAAAACGGAAGAGGCAGGTTTTGTTCCAAATCTAACCGGATTTTAAATTGTTCTGTAGTGAGGGTTTTCATTACTTAGTACCAACCAAGCCAGTTAGAGTTAGCATTATTCGTTTGGAAATGTATCTTTACAAGTCGTATTTTAGGAGATCCCATGTTTTAAAAAAATGATTTTAATCATCAAAGATTGATGTACATATTTAATTCTTAATTATCCATGGAGTGGGGGAGGGAAGGTGGGAATTCTGTGAGGTAAAAACAGCAGATGGTCCCAAAAGTCTTGTATTTGGATTTGGCTTAGAGTCAGAAAGAGAAAAATCAAAGAAATTCACATGGATCTCTGAGAATTTCTGGGCTCAGAACCTGCCCTTGGTGGTAAATCTAAAGCCAGAAATCTACGTAATTTCTTTTCTCAACAGAAAAGCCAGGTCTGAGCATGTGGCTCCCCTGGTTCCTGGGTCAGTGTCAATAGTGGCTGACGGGCTTCATGCCGTCCTGCCCTGCTCTGTGAAATTAACCTGATGCTCAAAAACCTGAATTTGCAAAGCAGAAAAAGCAAGGGGGAAGCATTTATAAATGAGTCCCTCAAATCCCAAGCACCATTTCAGCTTTGGAAGATCACACTTCTTAGTGTCACTTTTTCCCGACACTTCAAGGACACTTCACAAGACATGAGGGATTCTACAGAATTAAAAGGAGATATTAGATGCTGACAATTCACTTTTCAGAATAATTTTTTTTCTTTTGAGACAAGCCTCACTCTTGCTCAGGCTGGTCTCAAACTCCTGAGCTTGAGGGATCCTCCCGCCTCAGCCTCCCAGAGTGTTGGGATTACAGGTATGAGCCACCGTGCTTTAAACTTGGGTACCATAGCTCAACAGTTAGAGTACCAGCCCTGCAGACCAGGGGGGGCGAGTTCGAACCTTGCCTGGGCCTGATCAAGAAAAAGAAAGGCCTTTGGCCAAGTGCGGTGGCTCTTGCCTGTAATCCTAGCACTCTGAGAGGCCGAGGCGCGGGCGGGAGCAGGGGTGGGGACTGCTTGAGCTCAAGAGTTCGAAACCTGCCAGAGCAAGAGTGAGACCCCATCTCTACTAAAAATGGAAAAACTAATTGGGCATGGTGGCCGGCGCCTATAGTCCCAGTTACTTGGGAGGCTGAGGCAAGAGAATCATTTGAGCCCAGGGTTGAGGTTGCTGTGAGCTACGATGCCAGAGCACTCCACCATGGGTGATAAAATGAGACTGTCTCAAAATAAATAAATAAATAAGTAAATAAACAGTGCCCTGTATTGATGCCTTTGAATGTGTTCAGACCATTAACTCTTAGACTAGGAAGGTAGAGGCAACAACAAAAGCTGGAAACCAGGCAGAGTGGCTACACAGGATTATAAAGCAGGACACTGCCGTGGGTCCCAGGGGTCAGGGTCTGGTCCTTAAACAATCCCAAGGACAGTGGTCTCTTCCCACTGCAGAGCCCTGCCCTGAACTATCTCCTGAGTAAGGTGAGCTCACATCCCCCCTCTCTGAGGCATTTGTAACTAAATGGCCATAAGGGAGTTCAAAGAGGGACCCCTTTATACAGCATTCCACCTGCCGTGGAAAGGTGCTGATACTGACTTGACAGTGGAGGCTGAGTGTGGGGCCATCCAGTAACTAGAACCCAGCGGCTGTGGCATGGTAGGGGGACACTGCTCTGTGTGGGAAGACTGGGCTTCAGGCCTTGCCCATAACTCACACGGGTACAGGGGGGCAATTTATTGACTCACTGCAAACAGCCCCCAGGAGCAGCTAAGTCAGTGGTTCTCAACCTTCCTAATGCCGCGGCCCTTTAATACAGTCCTGTGACCCACAGGTTGAGAACTGCTAGGCTAAATGCTAATCACACAGTCAGCCTTTGTGATTACTGGGCCAGGCCCTAGACTGGATGGAGGTCAGGAGTCGAGACTGAGAAGGAACTCTTGAACCACAGGGCTGAGGGTGGACACCCCCCCACACACACACACAGTGCCCCCTCTGCGCCGGGGAAATTTAGGACCCTCGTCTGGATTCTAGGCAACTCCTGTTCCATCCCCGCACTGTATGGGAATAACAGAGGTGATAGAGGTGGGAAGACTTTAATTTTATCCAAAATGTATTTAGAAGAGTAAAGCATCTATGAAGAATCGCGTAACGCGAGCCAACATCCAGCGGAAATAAGGTTCCATCCCTCATCAGTGGTGTTGTCACCACCTGCCGTTTGCACAAATAATGAAGAGTGGCTTGACCCGCGTGGAGTATTAAAGTATGTTCATTTTTTTGGTTCCAATTGGAGATCTTATGCCGGCATTTGTTCCAAACAAAACCCAAAACTTGGAACACACATGCACACTCTGAACTACCCCGACTCACCTCATTATACCAGCCAACAATGAGCTCTAAGTTGCCCACAAACTTCCGGAAGGTTTCGTTCTCTGAGAACAGACTCTCTGCACTATCTGGAATTTCTTTTTGTTGCTGGAAATTCAAGTACTTGACTTCTCTCAGAACTGCCACCAACTAAGAAACAAATGCAGAGAACATGTCAAAAGGTCATCTGGGCACTGCCGCTGTTAGCAGGGGGCATCTGTGCCCCAGGCACCTGAGCCGCTGGGCCTGGGCATCTGTGCCCCTGGGCAACTGTGCCCCTGGGTGTCTGTGTCCTGGGCGTCTGTGCCCCTGGGTGTCTGTGTCCTGGGCATCTGTGCCCCTGGGTGTCTGTGCCCCTGGCTGTCTGTGCACCTGGGTGTCTGTGTCTTGGGCGTCTGTGTCCTGGATGTCTGTGCCCTAAATGTCTGTGTCCTG